ATTACAGGTAGGCCACACCCCTGGGGAAACTCCCCCTAGACTGACCGGCTGCTTAGGACGTAGTCATGTGATCCATCATGGGAAACACCACTCACAAGTGAAGTCCAGCCAAGTTGACAGATCTTCAACTATCACATGTGGTGAGTAGCGACTGAGATTTTAAAAGCTTGCAATCTGCCATCTAGATGCAACGATGGGTCTCTTCTTGTCCAGAGCCAAGAAGAATGAAGAAAACCAAAAATTCATGGAAACAATCAGTCCTAGAGACTGGTACACCATCCAATCTGCAGCCTATACGACTATGAGACCAGAAGAAATAGACAGTGGTTGGCTACTACTGTCAACCACTTGGAAGAGGATCTTTGTAGGAGATCCTTGATAGAGAGGGAGAACAATGGGGAACAAAACTCAAAATCATCTGGGGAAAAAAAAAAAAAAGAAAACGCGGGGACCAGGTTTGCTGGCCCCGATGGAGCCTGGTAGAACCACTGAGACTATGGCCCCTAACTGCCCTTCAGGTCTGGAATTGAATGCACACCTGTGGCTTCTTAACTAATCTCCCTCTTTTGCCCTTGCCCTTTAGGCTTACTGTCACCAGGAAAGCCAGGAAGATCACACCCTTCTATTTAAAATTCTCCAGTGTCTTTCCATCTCACTCAGAATAAAAGCCTATGCCTTTACAAAGGCCTTTGTTGTTAGCAGTCTTCTAATTGGATCTCAATTCATGGCAACCCCATGCACAAAAAGATTGGACTGTTGGTTGATTTTTTGGAAGTAGATCGTCAGGCCTTTCTTCATAGTCTGCCTTAGTCTGGAAGCTGTGCTGAAACCTGTGCAGCATTACAGCAATACACAAGCCTCCAGTGACAGGGATGGGGGCTATGCTTGAGGTGCACTGGCCAGAAATCAAGCCCAGGTCTCCTGCATCGAAGGCGAGAATTCTCCCACAGAATCACCACTGCCTCTGGAGCTCTATTTCATCAGATATCCATTACTTCTCTGTTCTCAGTGCTCACTCTATTCTACTCACACTGGCCTCCTTGTTCTTTTTCTGAATACACCAGGCACTATCTCACCTCAAGGAGCTCTGGTAGCATAGTGCCTAAGGCATTTGACTGCTAAGAAGGCTGGCGGCTCAAACCCACCAGCCACTCCTCAGGAGGAAAGTTGGACAATCTACTTCTGTAGTGATACCGCCTCAGAAACTCAAGGAGGGGTTGCTATGAATCGGATTGGACTCAACGGCAGTGAGTTTGGTTTTTTTTTTTTTGTTTGATCCCACCTCAGGGGCTTTGCATTTATTCCCTCTACCGGGATCTCACTTCCTCCCAGATGTCTGAACGGCATCTTAGGCATCTTACCTCTTTTACGTCTTTGCTCAAAGATCACCTTCTCACGGAGGTACTTATTGATGAATCTCTTTTAAAATTGCAGCTCCCCTTCCTGTACCTTCAGTACTCTTTATCCTCTTTTTCTGCTTGATTTCTTTCCACACCAATAATCACGGTTTAACATAAGACTAACTTATTTTTCTTTTGCTATTAGAATGTAACTCCATGAGGGCAGGGATGTAAGTGCTGTATCCCTGGCACTTAGAATAGTACCTTGCATATAATAATAAATATTTTTAAATAAAATAACTTGACATTTCAAAATAAGTTATATGACGTTATAATGCCTCAGACCGATCATTATGAATAATAGTTATCACATTACATTATATATCACCTAGCTAAATGGTTTTAGATAATTCCCTGAAAAGACAAATCTGAGATTTTTCTTCTTATAATACATTATGAGGTGCACATAAGAATACCAGCTAAGAGCACAAAGATTACTAAAAAAAAAAAAAAAAGGCCAATACTTCCAGCCTCTTGAACATAAAATCACTGGACTAGAAAAGATCTTAAATGATTATCTCAATAATTTCCTACTTTCAGACAGGCTTCACTGTATCCCCTCTTCTGTTTTTCCCCCCCTAAACAGTCCTCCAGAGAAATTATGTTAATCTCCTGTACCACCTCTTTCAGAAATTAATATCCATAACTAATCCAGTGGTCAATCTGATAACCATTATGTTTCTGAGGCCTATTTCTCATAAACCAAAACCAAACCCACTGCCATCAAATCAATTCTGATATAAAGCCACCCTACTGGAAAGAGCAGAACTGCCCAAAGGCTTTCTAAGGGTGTAAATCTTTAGGGAAGCAGACTGCCTCATCTTTCTCCCAGAGCCACTGGCAGGCAACTGCCTCCTTTTGCTTAGCAACTCAATGCTTTCACTCCAGAGCCACTCAAAAAACAAAAACCAAACTCACTGCTGTTGAGTCAGATCCGACTCATAGTGACCCCTCCTTGGGTTTCCAAGATGGTATCACTACGGAAGTAGTTTGCCCAATCTTCCTTCCGAGGAGGGGCTGATGGGTTTGAACTGCCAGCCTTCTGGATAGCAGTCAAATGCCTTAGGCACTACAGCGCCACAAGAGATCCTTCTTTCTTAAAATTCTTTCTAAATATGAATACCTGAAATCCAGATTAACCTAAACATGAGGTTTGGGTTAGTACAGTAATTCCAGTTGCTGTTTTAAAGGCTAATCATATCTGTCAGCCTGGAATCAAAGTTAAGTGTTAAATTTTTCTCCCCCTTCATTCACTGTCTTGAAAGTAGATGTCTGAACAATCCATAACTGTTATTGGACTAGAAATAAAAGTTTGCGGTCAGCGTCATGTATATGTATGTATGTATGTATGTGTATGTGTGTGTGTATATATATATATATATATATATATATATATATATATATATATGTTTGTTGTTATGTTTTCTCTCTCTCTCTATATATGTTGTTGTTATGCGCCGTGGAGTCGGACCCGACTCATAGCGACCCCTCTTTGGGTTTCTGAGGCAGTATCACTACGGAAGTAGATTGCACCATCTTCCTTCCGAGAAGTGGCTGGTGGGCTTGAACCGCCAGCCTTCTAGTTTGCAGTCAATTGTCTTAGCCACTATGCTACCAGAGCTCCTGTGTGTGTGTGTGTGTGTGTGTGTACAATCTTACACTACAAATTGTTTTCCCAATGGAACCAAAATTATTTGTACTGAATTCCCAATCTTCTGAGAGCAAGCGTATGAAAAAGCGGAGAGAATTAGTCATCATGGAACAAAGAATCTTACAGAGTCTCAGAGCAATCATTTCGACTAATAACTACGGATTAGTTAATAGTGAATTAACACGCTACTTTGAGAAAATAAAGTTAACATTCATATAGCTCTTAACACAAAAGTCCTATGAGTTGCTATTATTCTTAATAGAGGCGAGAAAACTGATATTCAACACCTTGTCCAAAGTAACAATGCTGTTAAGTGCCAGTACCGATTTCAAGTCGGCCACTCCTTCCCAGCACCGGAAAGGAATTTCATACTGGAATTTCTTAAACTGCAAAGAAACCGAGCTACCTTTCCAGTTCAAGTAAAATGTTAACAATGCAACTCAGATACACAGAATAATAACTATTAGTAAAAACCTTCATGATTTTATTGAAATAGGAATAGGAAGCCATAACCATAACAGATACAGGACTTTGAACAAGCGGTACAGCCCAAGCAGCAGCACCTGAGACGCTGCCAGGAGGAAGGGTGAGACTCCTTCGCACCAGCGCGGACCGCCGGCTTGGGGAACCACGGACCTGACAAGTTGAGTCTGCTCAGTCGCCTCTCCCAGGAGCCTGCGCTAGGACTCATCCAGGCATCAGGGTCGGAAAGAACCAGGGCGGGTCCGGGAATGTCCGCGCCGGGCCTTGCCTCCGCCCCAGCCACCTGCTCACTGCTTCCCAGCCTTGTTCAGCAGCCTGAAACTACAGGAGGCGGCAGGCCTCGCCTCCAGCCTTACTCCGACGCGGGTTGACAAGACACTCTACACCGGGGAGGAGGGGGCCTCTTCGACCCTGCACCGGCACGCACTCGGGAAAGACGTCGCTCCCTCCCGCGCTCCCTTAACACCCGCAACCAGTACCTTCTTCTCATGGCGGAGTCTCCAAGCAGCCGGGCGTTGAAGCCCCCGACCTACTCCACGCGGGGCAGAGCGCAGCAAGCACCCGCAAACACCAGCGATCTCGTTCCGTGTCCGCAGGTCCGCGAGCCGTTAAGCCCCGCGGAATTTCAAATCGAGGCGTGAGGCGGCGCAGACCTGTGATTGGTACGGCGTCCCGTCGCTCCTGGAGAATCCCCGCCTCCGCCCCGCCCCGCAGGAGGTGAGACGCAAGTGCGCAGTCGGATGCCGGTACGCCAGGCTAAGGGCCTCGGTTCTTTTGCCGAGTATGGAAGGTAGGGGTCGACACCCACGGGGGCTGGGAGGCGCTGTGTGCGCGTGCGCTTGGTTACGCCAGTCGCAGCTACCTTTTTTCCCTTCGCCACGCACTGGAGAAGAACGTCACTCTGGAGCCAACAACCTCATCAGAGCCCCACCCAGCCACGCACAGTTTTGATTCGAAGTGCGCGCCGCTGCTTGAAGGCAGCCGGGAAGGTGGGGCGAGTTTAAACGCCTTGTTCGGCCTTGAACCAGCTTGGAGTAGCAGGAGTAAGAATTCATAAAATAAGGCCGAGGTTTGTTTCCATCGTTCGTCCAGAGAGCGAAAGATCTTTAAAAATCTTTTCCAGATACACTAAAGGAAAAGGGAATGAAACTGAACACTGCTCATGGGCTTCCTACTTTTCTAGACAAGTTATCCCATTTAATCTCCACCACAGTCCTGTTATGTAAGCATTATCGCCATTTTCCAGAGAAGGAAACGAGCTCAAAAAGGTTTGAGTGATTGTCCAAGTCATATGATAGGTTAAGTAAGTGTAGGACGTAACCTGGGCATAGTTTTCTTTCCAATTACAATAACTTATATAATTATGTAAAATTTTAGTAACTCAAAATAGGTATCAAAGTGGTTTTATATTTTCCTTTTCTCACTGAACATATGCTACATCCCTAAATCACATATTTCATTGATACACATGGTTTCATATCTTGTGTGTAGATATACCACAATTTAACTACTTTGTTATAAATATGAATATTTAGATTGCAGTTTTCTGATAATCTGTGATAAGTATCTTCCTACATAAAATTTCACAATTTGTAATTTTTTGAGGGGGGAGGTTGATTTCCTAGAAGGGTAATTACTGGTTAACACAATTTGTGATTTTAATAGCCCCTTTCCAGAGAGATTGTATTTATTAATTTGCCTTTGCCTTTCCTACCTTTCACACCATACTTACCCAGTCTGTATGATGAGCAAATAGTCTGAGACGCTGGATTATATAAAGAATGAGGCTTATTAACAACCTGCTATATGCAGATGATAGAACCTTGCTTGCTGAAAGTGAAGAGGACTTGAAGCACTTACTGGTGAAGATCAAAGACTAGTCTGGATGGATTACATATACCAAAAACCCTCACAACTGGACCAGTAAGAAACATCATGATAAATGGAGAAAAGATTGAATTTGTCAAAGATTTCATTTTTCTTGGATCCACAGTCAACACCCATGAAAGCAGAAGTCAAAAAGTCAGATGTTGTAATACACAGGGCAAAAGACCTAGTTAAAATGTTGAAGAGCGGAGGCGGGGCAAGATGGCGGACTAGGCAGAAGGATTGCACAGACCCTCTTCAACAAAGAAAAGGGAAACCAATTAACACAGACACAGAAGATAATCTTGGAC